GGGGGGGGGGGGGGGGGGTGAAGCAACATCAGGTGAAGCGATAATGCAGAAGGTCAAATGAAATGCAAGGTACCTATGACTTCATCAAGAAAAATTGCATAGATGAAATTGTCCTGATAGAAAAAGTACTCAGAATGGAATAAATATGAGCCCTGTCAAAGATAAAATGATCTTACAGCTCTCTCGATGGCTTTCAACATTGAACATCTCCAGCTATTATCACCATATATTGCAATTCTTTCTGGTGATAGAAAGATATGACGATCTTGACTGCATGAGTCAAGATGATCAACCTCTTTATTCTGGGATGAAGTCTTCACTTCGTATGAGATTCTAGTTTCAGTATGAAAAGCATTCAAATGAACCTCTTTGTCCTTGCATACCGACAGGCTTGCATCTGGGGTGAACCAAACAGTTTGTNCTTCACTTCGTATAATTTCAGTATGAAAAGCATTTAATTTAACCTCATCGTCCTTGCTCACCGTCAGGGTGGTATCTGGGGTGATCCAAACAGTTTGTTTCCAATGGTCACACCAATTATCAGCACCTAGAGATGAATACAAATAAATACAAGAAAAAGTTACGATTTACAGATGTCTGAAATTGTGCAGAGGCTCAATGATGATTATCAAAATTTAGAACTTTTTTTTTTCCAGCCCATTATTGCCAATCAAGAATAAATTTCTCTCCATCCCCCCTCTTATTTGTGGACATCATCCCTTATTTTCCTCCCTTGAGTCAGATATAAAAATAAGTATAATTTTGAGCTTCCGTATATAAATACTTTATATAACTAATAAAATCAGTACTAGATGTACACAAGCAGTCCTGTTGATTCTAATCAATAATCCCACTAAAATACTTCCTGAGACACATTGAATGCAAGAGAGAGAAAAAATAACACAGAGCCTTGACTTACGAGGGAAGGAAGATCCTATCTTTTCCACATCAGAAGAGCTACCTATCCATCCGGGCGCCGTGGAATAAAAGATAGTCCCTTCACTATCAAGTTGAAGCAACCACCTGAAGGTTAAAAACAAAACGAGTATTTTCATGATCATCCCAGAAGAATATGCAAGAAATGACCACCTCTGCACCAAATTATATACCATGAGATGATAGCATGAATAGTACCATCATTAGTAGCCTTTACGTGTAGCTTGGTTTCCCCAAAACTGTCTGGCCGTTTCCAAAAGTCAAAATCAAAAATTTTGAAGGGTTCTGACAGCTGAATGAAATAATAAATTGAGTAAAATATTAAATGTTTCAACATGCAAAGGCAGATTTTCTAAATATACATATCTTTAGTACCAGTTTGATCTCTTCTTTAATCGCGTCACAATGCATCGCATATTGTTGTTGTTTGATGCATAAAACAGTATCCATGCCACTCGGAACAAGGTGAATGCCATCTGATGCTTTTGCTTCTCTATTAACTAAATCATGCAGCTCCAATAAGTAACTGCATTCCACCAGCTGAAAGGGCATTGAAAAAAAAGGTTAGAATAGTCAATTGTTCAAATCAAAATTGTGGGAAATAGTTTTGAGGAACCTGAAACTCATTAAATGCAAAAGTGACTGGCATAAATTGGGGCCGAATTCATATTTCGAATTCAGTTTTACAACAGATATATCATTGAAAATTGCCTTGAATTTTCTGTTTATAACTGATAGTTTTCTATATTTTATCCCTTTGGAAATCTTTGCTCCAGCATTCTCTGGAAGACTGAAATCTAACCCCCTATTTCTTCTTCTAGATTCAGGTTTCTCCAACTTGATTCTGTTTTAAGTAGGGCTGGACAAAACTCCCGAACCAAACCGAGCGGTACTTCTTAAGTTAAATACCCGAACGGGTATCTGAATCGAGAACCAACGGGTTTGGTTCGGTTCTAGTCCCAGAACCGAAAAACCGAATTTAAATAATTTTTTATATTTTTTAAATTTAATTAATTAATTTTTTTAAATTTTTTCTAAACAAATTAGCAAATCAACTAATTTAGTAATTAATGTTCTAACACCCAAACCAAGTCCATGTCTAGCTA